GGGGTGTCAGGAAATTCCGGGGGGGGGGGATGACAGCTTTTCTCCAGTTTCCCCCCCCTCAAGCACTTTGTTCCCCAGTGCAAAAACTGGGAAATTTGGGGGAGCACTAGAGAAACTATGAAATATTTTATTTTAGAATGAGTAAAATGAAGAGTTCAATGTTATAAAGTGTATATATTGCAGAAGTTTAACTTCATATTCAAACATATCCCTATACGAGAAACTTTCTGTCCAAGCAATACACTTTGTCTACGACCGAATTTGTTTTCTGCCTTCAACTTTTATTTTTAAACTAGAGAGGCATGTAATGCAGGGCAGTAGAGTAGGTACAGGGCGGGTGCAACTGATCCGCGAGTCTTCAGGTATTACCTATACTTGAGATCTTTTTTCCTTACAGAGAACAGAGACATTAATAATTTGAAACTCCATACACATGCCTTACAGTGAAATATTATATGCTAAAGAAGTTATACATGATGAATTTTATGTATGTTGTTAAATCAGCAAAAGAGGTTTAAGTTTGAAAGGAAGATAAGTATTGCCAATATTTCAACTTTTCTAAATGTATGTTGTTGTTTTAAAAAAAGAAAAAACTCAGATTTATTCTGTGGCTTCAAAATTTCCAGAAATTCTATTTCTCTGGTGACACCAACACACTAACCCCACCAGGAACTCATTCATTCCAAAGCATATAGCTCATAAAAGCTGGGTCCTTCTGCTGATCTAGCCGTGGTGATCCACACTACTGTAACCTCCAGATATTGGAATACTGTAACATGCTCAGCCCTGACTTGGATGGCCCAGGCGAGCCCAATCTTGTCAGATCTAGAAAGCTAAGCAGGGTCAGCCCTGGTTAGTATTTGGATGGGAGACAGACCGCCAAGGAAGCCCAGGGCTGCGACACAGAGGCAAGCAATGGCAAACCACCTCTGGATGTCTCTTGCCTTGAAAGGGTTGCCGTAAGTCGGTTGCAACTAGACAGTGCGGGGCTACCTTTGAAGACAGCTGGGCCCTGAGAAGGGCCAGGAGAGGGAGCTGCTGCTGGAGCGGTGAGTGTTTTATTATTTGCCATTCCTTAACTGCTGAGGAGTAGCAGCTGAGGTTACTGTGTGGGAGGACAGTGTTTGAGGGTGTGTGGATGTGTATAACCTGTTGGAGAGTGGTGCTTGTTTGAGGAAGTGTGGTTTCTGTTTGTCTCTTTTGCCGGGTGCAACTGATTGCAGCTTTTAGCAGTTTTACCTGAGGCTGACTGCTGGCCCCTCCCTCTGCTGGGTGAGCCTTTAATTATATTAGGCTCCTCCTTGCCAGAGGCTCTTGCCCTGTGGCTCTCAGCTTGGGGATGCTCCCTCTAAGCTGTGGAGTCTTGTGAGCAAAATTCTTCTTTGTGAGCTACTGGCATTAAAGTTGTGAGCAAGCGATTTGGCTACTGCATAAATTAGTTTGCTCTGGAGCCATCCTGCCTGAGCTAAGACAAAAATGTGTGAGCTGGAGGCTAAGAAACTGTGAGCCAGCTCACACTAACTCAGCTTAGAGGGAACACTGCTGGGGACCCCATAAGAAGTTAAGAAAATTGTATATTGCTGTACTTGTTTCCCCTTTTGGCTCAGGTAGCCATTTGGTCAGTTCTCTTAAGTTTCAGGGTACATCAGCACACCAAGGTATTTCTAGATGAAGGAATCCACTTGTTTTTGTTTGTTTTTGCTTCTGCAATCCTTTCACAAGTAGTCTTGAGAGGCAGTTTGGCAAGGGAGTTATCAAGGAGGTGCCAGTTAAACTGAACAAATTTTGAAATGGATTGCAGCAGTATGGCTGGTGAGGGAGCTGAGGCAGGGATGTGCAAAGTCTGTGGCATGCTCGTATTCTTATCTGAGGGTAACAGCAATTACACTTGCTGCAAGTGTAAGTTGGTAGCCCTGCTGGAGGAGAAGATACTTGAGGCACACTTGTCCACACTCCAGTTTATAAGGGAAGGTGAAGATTTCATGGACAGAACGCATGAAGCATTCCTGAGAGGGCAACAGGAGGAGGATGGAAAGGTATTCTCAGCAAATGGAGGAGCACCTGACACAGGAGGAGGGCACATGGAAGAATGTAACCCACAGGAGCCAGAAAATCAAGAGACATTCTGAGCCTCTGTTACTAAGCAGTCGGTTCCTGGATCTCCCCACAGATACTGATTCTGAACCACTGGAACAAGGGCTCCTCCTCCACAAAGCTTGAAGAAAATTTCTCAGAAGATAATAATCGAACTTCTGCTCCCCAGTATGGGAGACGATGTGTGTTGATAATTGGGGATTCCCTACTGAGAGGGGTAGAAGCTAAAGTGCACCAACCGGACATTGTGTCCTGAGAGGTATACTATCTACTGGGTACATGCATCCAGGATGTGATGGAAAGGGTAGGAAGATTATTATCCCTTCTTGCTCATCCACATGGGAACAAATGATATCGCCCGGCACAGACCTGAATATATTAAAAGAGACTATGTGGCTCTGGGTAAAAAGGTGAAGGAATTGGGAGTGTAGGTTGTATTTTCATTAGTTCTTCCTGTCGAAGGCTGTGGCTTCGGAAGGGAAAGAAGAATACTATAAACCAATGACTGGCTACATAGATGGTGTCATCAGGAAAGGTTTGGATTTTTGGACCATGGCTTACACTTTCGAGATGAAGCTCTTCTATGGGGAGATGGTTTGCACCTCACAAGGATAGGAAAAATGTGTTTGGAAACAACCTTGCAAACCTAATAAGGAGATCTTTAAACTAAATCCTGTTGGGGAACAAGACAAAAATGGAAAGCCCAGTATGATGCCAATAACTGGAGATAAGAACACTAAAGTTTTACACGGAGTGGAACACGTAAGTACAGAAATGAAAACCTCAGGGTGCATAAAACATGGATTCCAATGTCTCCACACTAATACACAGAGTATGGGAAACAAGCAGGAGGAACTTGAGGTCCTAATACAGGGACTATGACCTAATAGGCATTACTGAAACTTGGTGGGATGACACACGCAATTGGAATATTAGGATTGAGGGGTACAACTTATTTAAAAGGGACAGATGAATAAGGAAGGGGGGAGGAGTCGCATTATACGTAAAGTAGGTATATACTTGTGAGGAACTACATGAATTTGAGCATGGAAGTCCAGTTGCGAGTCTCTGGATAAAAATAAAAGGAGTAAGAAATAATAGTGATATTATGGTGGAGGTCTGTTATAGACCACCAAGCCAGGCAGAGGACTTGGATGAGACACTCCTAGAACAGATTACAAAGACACGGGACATGGTGGTCATGGGAGATTTCAATTATCAGGATATCTGTTGGAAGCCCAACTCTGCTAAAAATGAAAGGTCCAATAAATTCCTGACTTGTCACGCTGACAACTTTATTTTCCAGAATGTGGAGAGGTAAACAAGAGGATCTGCTATCTTGAACTTGATTCTTACTAACGGGGAAGAACTGGTTGACGAGGTGAAAGTAGTGGGCACCCTGGGTAGCAGTGACCATGTAATTTTGGAATTTACAGTCTTGGGAAAGGGGAAAGCTGTAAGTAGTCAGACATATAAGCTAGACGTCAGGAAAGCAAATTTTGACAAACTTAAAGTTATACTTAAGGAGAAGGGAGTTCAAGACGGGTGGGAGTTTCTTAAAAGTGAAATACTGACGGCACAATCACAAACGATTCCTGTGTTGGAAAAATTAGAGGACCCTAAAGAAGCCAAGGTGGCTCCATAAACAGCTTTCTAAAGACTTGAAAAATAAAAAAGACTCATTTAGAAAGTGGAAGGAGGGCCTTATAACCAAGGATGGATGTAAACAAATAACCAGTGTTTGTAGAGAGAGTTAGTAAAGCTCAGTATGAGCTTAAGATAACGAGATATGTTAAAAACAACAATAAAGGGTTCTTTTCTTATGTTCAAAGTAAGAAAAAGAGCAAGGACATGGTAGGCCCATTGCGGGGACAGGAAAGTGAAATTTTAATGGGTGATGAAGAGAGGGAAGAACTTTTCAATTCCTACTTTCCCACAGTTTTATTTTGTGAGGGAAACAGTGCTTAGCATGGCAAACGCAGAACACATGACGAGGGAAGGGAGTTGCAGCCTAGGGTCAGCATAGGGGTAGTACATAAACACCTAGTTTCTTTAAATGACACTAAGTCCTCGGGGCCAGATGAACTGCATCCAAGGATACTAAAAAAACCTTGCAGATATAATTTTTGAGCCTCTGTCCATTATTTTTGAAAATTCTTGGAGAACAGGTGAGGAGCCGGAAGATTGGAGGCGGGCAAATGTTGTCCCCATCTTCAAGAAGGGGAAAAAGAAGGATCTGGGTAACTACTGACCCCGTCAGCTTTACATCTATACCTGGGAATGTTTTAGAACAAATCATCAAACAGACAGTCCTTGAGCATTTAGGAAGGACGGCTGTGATTACTAAGAGTCAGCATGGGTGTCTCAAGATCAAGTTATGTCAGACTAACCTTCTCTCTTTATTTGAGAAAGTTACTACCTTGCTGGATCAGGGGAATGCCGTAGACATAGTTTATCTTGATTCCAGTAAGGCTTCTGATAAGGTTCAACATAATATTCTTGTTGACAAATTGGTAAAATCTGTTTTAGATCCTATGACTGTTAGGTGAATCTGTAACTGGTTGACAGATCGCACCCAAATCATGGAATCAGAGAGTTGGAAGGGACATCCAGGGTCATCTAGTCAAACCCCCTGCACAATGCAGGAAATTCACAAATACCTCCCCTCCCCCTCCACACTGGCAGTGACCCTGTTCCACGCCCAGAACATGATAAAAAACACCCAGGATCCCTGGCCAAACCAGCCTGGAGAAAAGCTGCCTCCTGACCCTGAAGTGGCGATCAGCATTTCCCTGGGTGTGTAAGAAAGGGCCACAAGAACTAAGCACTGAGGCAACCCTTCCTGCCGTCCCTCTCATGATCTGCCTACGTTCACAGTTCACCCAAAGAGTCCTCATCCTCTTGGAGGGGAGAGACAAGTGGAGAGCCTCAGAGATCTGTCCTGGGACCTGTTTTGTTCAACGGCTTTATCACTGATTTGAATGAAAGGATAGAGGGAATGCTTATCATATTTGCAGATGATACTAAATTGGGAAGGGTAGCAAATATGGTAGAAGACAGAGTCAGGATACAGGATGATCTTGACAGGCTGGGAAACTGGGCTAAAAGAAATTTAATGAATTTCAATGGGGATAAATGTAAAGTTCTGCATTTAGGTAGGGAAAATCAAATGCATATTTACAGTATGGGGGAAACTTGTCTTGGCAGTAAGTATGTGCGAAAAGGATCTAGGCGTCTTAGTAGACCATACACTGAACATGAGTCAGCACTGTGATGTGGTAGCTAAAAAGGCAAATGCGATTTTGGGCTGTATCAACAGAAGTGTAGTGTCCAGATCACACAAAGTGATGGTACTGCTTTACTTTGCCCTGGTTAGATCTCACCTAGAGTACTGCGTTCAGTTTTGAGCACCACAATTTCAGGAAGATCTAGACAAGCTAGAATGTGTCCAGAGGAGGGTAACAAAGATGGTGAACGGTCTGGAGACCAAGTCCTATGAGGAAAGGTTGAAGGTGCTGGGTATGTTTAGCCTGGAGAGAAGACAACTGAGAGGTGATATTGATCACCATCTTCAAGTACTTGAAGGGCTGTCATCTAGTGGATGGTACGGAGTTGTTTTCTTTTGCCCCAGAAGGTCGGACCAGTACCCACGGGTTGAAATTAAATCAGACGAGTTTTCAGTTAACATTTCTAAGAACTTCCTGACAGTTAGAGCTGTTCCTCAGTGGAACAGGCTTCCTCGGGAGGTGGTGGGCTCTCCTTCTTTGGAGGTTTTTCAGACAGAGGCTGGATGGCCACCTGACAGTCATGCGGATTCTGTGAACTTAGGCAGATCCTGAGAGGGAGGGCAGGAAGGGCTGCCTCAGTGCTTAGTTCTCGTGGCCCTTCTTACACACCCAGGGAAATGCTGATTATCACTTTGGGGTCAGGAAGCAATTTTTCAACCCTGGAGGTTTTTTGTCATCTTCTGGGCATGAAACAGCAGTCACTGGGGTTATGAGTGGGAGGTATCTGTGAATTTCCTGCATTGTGCAGGGGGTTCGACTAGATGACCCCAGAGGTCCCTTCCAACTCTATGATTCCATGATCTTGGAAACTTTGACTGGTAAAAAATGTGGCCACAAAACACCTGTCAGCTGCTTGGAACATATAGCGGCAGTGCTCAAAGCCTTCCACAGCCATGACCCTCATGCTCACTGAACCTGGCCTCCCACAGACACTCTGATGCGCCAGATCCACCTCCAGACTGCGCTCTCCCTCTCTCGGGACGGTCCGCCAGGCAGTGGGCCATGGACCGTTCCATCCTGAGGTGAGCCCAGAGCGGGCGCAGTGGGCACCCCTTCACTTTCTGCATTCAGGGAGGCACGGGGACTCCTTTCTGATCCCAAGAGTATTCCATCGTTTGGGCAGGACCGGCTGCCTTGTTTTTAGTTTGCTGATTTGCTGATCTACTGCTACATCATCTTCATGTGATTGCAACTTGCAACTCCTTCATTAACCATCGGGAGTTAATTACTTTTAATCAATCTATTTCCTGGCTGTTAAAAATATAACGGTGCTTTACTTGGATGCTCTGAATGTCATTATTACCTTAAGCAGATTTCCCCCGTCTCAGTGATGTTGGGATGCCAGATTCTAGTCAAGCATTTTACTCTGGGAGGCTGCCAGAAACGAAAGACAGAAGTTACCATCCAGTCATCTCACTGTGTACCTTCCCGCCCCACCATCTCCCGCGCACGGCTCGGGTGCCGCACCCTGCTAGCCAGCCGAGAGGGCAGAGACCGCCCCCTTCCCTCCGCCTCTCACCCTGCTTAAGGCAGGCAGAAGCTCCTCTGCTAGCCCAGACCCGTCACGGACGCTGCCCGGCCACGTTTGGTGGCGCTGTGGCAGGAGGCCTGGCTTTCTGCCCCACGGTCCCTTCTCGGCCTGAGGCCGTTTATGAGAGACAACCACAAAGCCAAGGAAGTAAAAGACAAATAAGACAGTTCAAAGAATAACTGCACAGAGCCACTGCCCTGCGGGCAAACGTAAACCCACAGAACTGTACTGCTGATCGGAAAAGTCAACTTCTGTCCTGACTTCTCCACAATGAGGTCTGTTGACACGGAACCCTCTCGTAAGCCTCGTGAAAGGCCCGTGTCGGTGCCTTCTGGAATAAGGCTGCAATCCTAAGGGCATTTCCCTGGGAGTAAAGCCCAGTGGATAACAAGAGACTTGTTTCTGAGTAGACCTGCTTAGGATGCTTCCTTCACTCTGCGAAACCAGATCTTGGGCCATGGGTAGAAATCAAAGAAGTTCAAAGACTGGGATGGGCCAGAAAGGGACCGTGTGTGTCCAAGAACAGGAGCTGGGGCAAAAGCCGCAAAAGCCCCCATCCACGGGAGAACCACCTGCTGGGGGCGGGGGCGGGGGGGTAGGGGCTGTGTTTAGTTACTGGCCCCGGGCCTTTTCAAGCTTGCTGCCCTTTTCACAGAGAACACGGTGTTTTCCGTCTTTTTCATATCTCTGCGAGAGACGGAGAGTTAGCAGGAAAGCAAGTTGGAAAAGCAGGGCAGACTGGGAGGAGGCCAGAACAGCCCCAGAAAGGGGCCTTGGTGAGATGAAGTAGACCTGCTGCTGCTCCCACCGACCTTGAGCAGGGCAGGGGCTGCGGGCAGGGGACATGTGTGTGTGTGTGCGCGTCTCGCACCGGCAGGAGCCACTGGCTCCAGGGACACGGAGGCCTCCAACTCACAGCGGCTCCCGTCCAACTACGGTAGGGCTGCCAGAGGTCGGGGTAGCCCCACCCGGGGGGAGATACAGCCCGCCCCCTTGGGACCTACCCCCCCACCCCAATGGCCTTATTGGCCAATCTGCCCCTGAAAGAGAGCAGCGAGCTTAAAACAAGTTGGCCATAGGACCAGCAGACTGCACATGCACCCTGCAGGCTGCCTTCGTCCCTCTTCCTTGCTTCACAGGCTGTTTGCACAACCTGGGCCCAGAAGGAAAAACATCTACAAAATTCAGAAGTCTAGTTTTAAAATCACTACCTAATGTAAGTGAAACAATAGCTGGAAGTTAAATTTTGTGGAAGCATACTGATATTTTTTTTTAACAGCACATTCCCCAGCCCCCCCCCCCGAATGTCAACGAGGCGATCCACAGGAAGCTGCATAGCATTTTCCTCATTCATTTTGCTAATTTCTCTACAAAGTTGCCATCCTCCGTCTGAAAACTCCTCCTCCTTCTCCACCTTCGTTTTCAGGGCCACCCCCCCCCCTTTTCATCCTCTTGGCTCATAAAAGCAGACCAGCAAACCGCTACTCTCGCCAAACGGAGGCCAGCCAGACCCTGCCCCTCAAGGGCCCCGCGAGGCATCGAGGAGACCGCCTGGGACTAGCAGGAAAAACCTAAACGGTGGCATCTTTTCCTCCTGGGCAGAGTCCTGGCTCTTGCGCTAGTCATTCAACGCCCAGCCTCTGCCAATGAAACCATCAGCTGAGCCAATTTCAATCTGGCTCCAAATCTGAATCTGGGGAACAAATAACCTCGATCGCCCCTGTGCTGCGTTTCGGGCGTGGGGGGCGTGGGGGATGCAACCCCTGCTAGTTTCCCTCCCTCCCTCTCTCTCTCGGGGGGGGGCTTTCGATACCACGGATGAGCTCTGGGTGAGGCGGCTTCAAAAACAGGCCAGTGGCTGAAAATGCCGCACACCCCCCC